TTCTTGTGTCAGTCTTTGTCTTTGTAATGCCAGCGAGCTGTAATGACACAGCACCCTGGTAATACACATTTGTTGTCTTTATAGTTGTTATTGGATATTGAAATTATGTGTACACAGAAAAGCCATGGTTCCTTCCATTGCCAAATGACCCCCACAAGTGAAAGTTGATGAAAGTACACCATTTCTGGGAATCGGGCTGCTAAACTGTACATGGTAACTCCAGTGCCATGCATTTCTTCAGGTCGAACGAGGACAAAATTACTTGGCTAAATGATGCCACTGTAGTAGAACATCCCCTTGGAAGTGGAACAACTAAATCGCCGAGAAATTGTTGTCTGCAGTGCTACTTACCTTTATTAGTAGTTTGCTATGGACCTCTTGGTATTTCTGTTGTCTATTTTCCCTCATCCTACATGCATTAAAATACATTTATTTGCACATTTCTCAAAAAAAGCTGTGGGCAGTATGCACATGCATCTGAAGCAGATAACCATTTCGCTTTAACCAGTGACGTCATATTGTCCTTGTTCGACCTGAAGAAAATGGCTGCCACTGGACTTGTGTGTGGCCCAAAGCACTAAATCCTTGGAAAAGAACATCAATCTAATCTCTTTGTCAGGGTTTTCGCTTTGGTGAGAGTTTAATAAACCTAATATCGATTGGCGATACCGGTAGTTTTGATAGTGTGATGCGACAAAATAGTCTGCTTATGTTTACTTTGTGTTACGCAAGTCTATTGGAGGAACCATAGCTTTTCTGTAAAATGATAAAATGCTAATATCTAAAAAAAAATGTATCAGAAATGACTATAAATACCATCACAAAATTAAAGACCAACACAAGAATAGTTATGGACAAACAGCTAATTAAAAATATTGAATTCAGTTCAGTGGAGGGGGACTGTTTGAAAGTGAAATATGATTTCATTTGTGCACATTGACTACACTGCATTTATATTTATTGATTCAAATCCAACAATTTTTCTTTCAGAAATCCAGTCCATATAATAATGCATCTTCGTCAATTTAAAATTCCATGTCCAGATACAAGGCTTATAAAACATGGTAACACAGTGTACAAGTTTAAATTGCAGTATGACTGTGGACATACTTGGTATATAAATATTTATTTTATCATAGTGATTGTAGTTTAAATTAAGCATACTGTACGTCATCAATAAAGGATCTGCAGGAATATTCTAAGTAATTCTTCAAAACAACCACGTTCCCAAAATTAATATCATAATGAGGATTTACATCTACAAATGTATAAGATTAAATTGTGTAACTTTCGTAAGCATGGACATGAATGTGATGAACTCTCAGGAAAAGCAAACTCTTGTGCTTTGTGCCTGTTAGTTAAGCGATCCTATTTTGTGCACATCAATCAATCAAACCAATCATACATTGTACATGCAACTTTGTTTTAGTTTTTGTTTTGAAGTTTAATGAAATTATTTGCTTGCAATCTACACAGTCGAACTGATCTGCCATGTAATGGAAATGTCATACAGGAGGAAATGGAGGTAAACTTTTATAAAGTTAGATTTATTTTGTGAGCACAATTCATTATTGATAATTAGAGAATTAAATATTGTCTTGAGAATGCAGCTACATATATATGCTGTTGTAAACACAAGATTCCTTCACTAAATTACTTACTGTGAAATATAGGAAAACAGTATATTCACTGGATTTTATTGTCACTGAATCGTCCCTTCAGCGAAAATAAATTACAAGTGAAAACTAAGTATTTTACAGTATTGTACACACACTTTGGTAGTAAACCTCATACTGTATTGATAAATACAGAAATATTTTTTGTTTTTTCTTACAGAAGGTTCATAAAAATAGTTTTGAAAAATCAACAAGATCTGCAACCAATGAAGACTGATCATTTTGTGGTTTATCCTTGTATCCTTTGATGTGTGGAATGTGTTATTCTATAGTATTGTCAACAAAAACAATTCTCTGTACCTCAAATACAAATGTCTTCAACGTGGAACGTTTTCACCTAGTTTCGGACATTGCATCACAGGAGAAGGTCAACATAGGCGACATTTGCATAACACGATCAAAGAACCGATTGACGTTCTGATAGATGTGTTTTAATAGGTATCAACTTGTTAGAGGTTGTTCAAAATATGATCGTGTGGATGTTAAGTAGAGTTCCACTCAGTTTAGTCACTAGAAAATGTGAAACAAAAATAGGCTCACCATAGTAGTAAGACATAATAAAAGTATTAAGTTAAATGATTTGAAAATGAACAGAAAAATGATTGAGCATGATCTGCACTTGGTCTCGTATCTAAACTGACACATTATAAAACAATTTCCTGGTATAATAACAGTTTATGTGAATAAATAGTTCCCATTTCAGATTCTCAGTCAACAAGTTTTTTTCTACGTTACTGGTATGTTTTTGAGTTTCATATATTGGTCAACCAATATTCCAGACATTTTGATGAGTTGGTGTGTTCCAGTAATGTGTAGACAATGTAAGTTGTAAGTTCAAATAGAGATGACAAATTTAACTATAAAAAGACAGAATGGCAGACATGACTCTACTCCTATGATGGCTGAACTGATAGTTCATTGCATTTTTTTGTTGCCATTCTCTGTTTCGAAGTCACATAGTTACTGCGGAATCGAACAGACGAGCAGCTCGGAGCTGTATTCAAGATACTGAGAATTGAAAAGTTCCTTAATCAGTTTTAATTACTAGGTAAAAAGCAATGGAATGCTGCAAGACAGTTAAAGTTTCTTGAAAATGGCAAGAAATTGGAAGTTTCTCCAAACATGTTTCTCATTTATTTGGAAGACAATGATGATAGACTTGTGCAAGGTAAATCAAATGGTATAACTAGAACAGCCTTGTGTTTGTATCAAATGGTATACTGTAAAATACTTTATTTTCGCTTGGAATTAATTTTCGCTTAAGGAATGATTCAGTGAAAATAAAATCCAATTTTTCCTATATACTTTACATTCAACAATGAATTCCATACAAAACACCCGAAAAGTCTTTTCAGTGAAAATTAATTCCAGCTAAAATAAAGCATTTTACAGTAACTAGAACAGCCATGTGTTGAATCAAATGGTACCGGTATATCCATGTATGATAGTTAATGGCGATGGTTAAACTTATCTTACAGGTACAAGTAATGATAACATTACTGATGAGGTTACCAGAGATTCAAAGGTAAAGTGCACTTTCTTGACTTCAATTGTGACAAGAGTGAAAGCCTTTCATAGTATCCAGTGAAGTTCACTGTCAATATAAATATACAAACTTTCTAGATAAATGAGAACAATTTTGGTTGTCTTGTATTGCATAATTTCAGTGAGATTTTCTAGTCATTCATGGTTATAAAAGTTGTGTGCCATAATCTATTACCGGTATATACTTTTGTTCTAACAATAGAGAAAAAAACCTGTGGCATTAGAAAAGTCCTCCAGGAAACATAGTTCATCAGTCTCACATGAAGAACACAAAGCAAATGTTATACAGGCAGAAATCAAAACACCTGATGGGTAAGTTGTGTACAGTGATATTAAACGGTTATCAGACCAAAAAATGGCTTGATTATTACTCCATTTATAGAGGATATTCTTAACAATCATTACAGTAGAACTTTTTATATTTTCGTTTATATACTTTTAAAGCATTTTATTCAAATCTGTTTAGTGTCACTGAAATAGACATCTTGTACCAACACATGTTATTACATGCACAGTGAAATTGCTTTAATATTTTACCTGCCAACTCCAGACACAGTAAGCAAGGGTGGCAATTTTGTTTGAAGTGCTACTGTAACAACTGAAAATGGGAGGCAACTGACAACTCTGGGAAGGTTAATTATTATGCGAGTATGTGAAGTGCTCCCCTTACACTTAAATAACACTTTTAAATGTATATACCGGTAGTGGAAAACAGTCAAGCAGTGGCAAATATTTCTTACGAAAGAGACCTGTGCAGCAATCAAATGAAGAACCCAGTTCTAAAAGACCAGTTAGACGTTTAATTGATCTTTCACAGGTATTGTTGACATTTGATTGTAAATACATTGTCACTTCATTTTATTATTTACTTATTTAGAATACATTGGTCATCTGTCTATTAAACATTGGTATATAGTGAAATTACTAGCCATACATACTACTGTGTTTTCTTGTGTTATTAAATTACATCACTATAAAGAGCATACTGTAAAAGGGTTAATTATTCACTGGGTTTTAATTTTGCTTATTTCACTGACTGGAAAATGCACTAAATTAAAACCCAGTGAATATGTAAAATTTAGCATAGAACACATTAGCTAAATTGTAAAACCATGAATTTAAAATCCACTGAATATGCCTGAAATGGTAAATCAGCAAAATTTAAACCCAGTGAAAATTAGTCATTTTACAGTACTTGAGGTGCTTGGCACAGGCATTTGATATTTGGCCTAAATTGAAAGATATTTTACACTTTATTTATATTGTTTAATTCTGTTCACAGATGTATAACATGAATACTGTACACAGTGTATTTATTGTCTATTTCTGCATTTAGGATGTTAAGACTAGATCCTCATCACATTCTCCTTATGAAGGCACAACAGCAGAAGCTGATGGTATTCCTGAAGACCCAGAAGGTGAGATTCCACTATGCCTTAGGATGGGGTATCATGTCCAGAGGTTGTATTAGGTTGAGGTTGATGGGTCAGCATTGACTTCAAATCATTCATATCATGCTGATTTGTTAGAAGAGATAAAAAAAGATGTACAGTACTACAAACAAAATGGGAGGTGGTATATCTTGCTACATTTCATTCAAAATAATTCTGTATTCTCCTTATATACACATTTCTTTTTTCGCCTGCATTTGCTTGGCATTTTCGTAATTTTTGCGTTATGTGTCAGGAATTACACCAACAGCACTATATTTTACATATTATTACACTCAGGTGATATAGTGCCATTACATAATGATGTTTGAAAGTACTGGGGGCAATATCACATTCATAGCTAAGTGCATTCCAAACTAAGGTAGTTCCATACTGATCTGTATAATCATTTTGTTAAGATTAGAATGGTAACAAAAAGTTAAGTCAAAATTTCTTACAGGCACGATAGTGTTAGTAAATAGAAGACCAGGAAGAGATGTTATTCAACAAAATCAGTTACAGGAATTGATGAGATTACAGAACTTAGCCAGACCTTCACAACAATATGCTAATAGAAATACTAGATCTCAACAACATAAAGGAACACTACAAACCATATGGGAGTAAGTATTAGGATAGTCAGAATAAATAGAACAAACTACATGTATACGAGAGCAAGTATAAAATTATGGAGAATAGACAAATATAGGAATATCAGAATTGACTATACAAACTATGGGATTAGGTATCAGAATAGTCAGATTAGATGCCATAAACTATAGAAGAAACAATAAAAGGGGCTATGGTATATGGGAAGAACTATCAGGATAGACAATTGCGACTACAAACTTGGGAGTAAGTATCAGCATATATAGTATACAAACTATGTGGGAGTAGCTATCAAAATAGACAGAATAGAAATTGCAAACTATGGTATGCCAGTGTATACCTTATGAAGTGTCTGGATATACAATAGCCACTACCAGTACAAACTATGGGAGCAAGTTATCAGGATACACAAACTATATGAGTAAATATCAGGTGGGAATAGACAGACATAGATACTACAAATTATGAGTTAATACCAGGATAGACACTATACTATGAAGTATCAGAACGGACAGAATAGATACTACAAACTAGGTGGAGTGTAGGTATCATGATGGACAGAATATACACTACAACTTATATGAATGGGACAAACAGATCAAAATATATGGGAGTAGATACCATACAACAAACCAGAATACAAACTATATTGGAGTAGGTATCCCCATAAACAGAATATAAACTATATGGGAGTAGATACCAGGACAAACAGAACATACAACAAACCAGAATACAAACTATTTTGGAGTAGGTATCCCCATAAACAGAATATAAACTATATGGGAGGGTAGGTATCAGCATAGAATGAACACAACACACCTTCTTTGCCTGACAATCTGCTGCAATTGTAATAACACTTATCTTTCTTCTATATCACAGTACTTTCATGACGCCTGCCAAAATGCTACTCAGAAAAAAGTAGGACGCAGTTGAGTTCAAAGTTTCATTTCCATAGAAAAAAACAAACAATCGTGAATAGGCACTTTTATAAGGATTATTTCACAAGTACTACTTCGTTTTGTAAATTCAATTTTCCTGATTTATCATTGTCTTGTTACCTTGTATTTCATTGAAACATATTATGTAAAGTAACTGTACCATTTGTCATCAGTTATCACAATATTGTGATAGCTTTTCCTTGTTTTTCCACAATGTGTATGTGGTTATTTTGAAGATAATTATCAATGATTTTGGTAGTGTCTTAATTTTTACCAATTTAAATAAGCATCTTCATAATGCAATATTCCGCATTTATGTAGTATTTTCATATACATTGTAGTTGGCACTAAAGTGTTACAAAGTAAGTTGCATTTCATAATTTGTTAGACATTAAGAGAATACAAGCACTTACTATTTTTTTTATTTGTATATAAATATATTGTTAAAACTGTCTCAGTTTTATTTTGTTTTTACAACTGTCATGGAATTTGGCAAGTAGAGAGCAGTTTTATCACTGACCAAGTGTATGCCCTGATACAAGGCGGAATGCTAATTTTTCATTTTAAATGTGGTGGTTTATTAAAATGTAAGTTTCCCTAACTGAAGACAATCAGTCCAAGAAATAGGTCATCTAAAAGTTTGTGG